GGAACACAGAACCTATTTAGCAGCTTTGCAGGAAGGAATATAAAGTGTTGTTTTCTTAGATAACTGTTTATCTGTTATTTGAATGAGGGCTAGAAGCACAACCACTATGACCCATCAGAATGTCTGTGTGCCCGGATGTCTCTATAGCTTGTAACCCTAAATGTTGAGGCTTTAAAAACGTGTGCAGGCTGAGGCAACATTGATAGATTTGTTCAGTTTAAGGTCCGTTAAAAGCATTTCAGAGATTCGCTTTGATTCTCATAGCATATACTCAATACCATATTTATGTAAAATGTGCATTAACTTTACAAGATGCGATTAAGATTTTTTGGGGGCTAATACTGGACAAAGTTCCTGGAACTGTTCATTCCCAAAACTCTGCGATGAAAGCTCCGTGTTGTGAGCCTCTGGGGAAACTCCTCATTCCAGCCGCTGCTATTTATTGCAGCATACAGGATTGTTTTGTGATGCAGCATTGAATAATATATGAGTTTTGTGATCAAATTTTAATATAACAATAATAACAATAATCCTTGCATTTGATATAGCGCCTTAATACGTCTCAAAGTGCTTCACAGAATATACTGTAAAGTGAATGGACCATATATTTTGTGAGCGTTTCTGAATGTTTCTATGTTTCTAAAGGCAAGTTGCCATACCTTGCCTTGGTCAGCTCATACTTTTTTGGGGGGGTCAGATGGGTGTCTAACGCATGCAGCAACCCATCACCAGGCTTAAGAGTATCCAAATCAAATTGAGACTTCCGTGCATCCCACCTGCGCATGGAAATCCCAGAGATAGATTGTTCAGCTCATACAAAAAACCGTATCTTGCTTTCAACCGTTACAATTGTTCTGGCACAATGCAAAAGCGAGTGGAATAATTGCGCTTTGGCAAATCAAAATCCACATCTTGTTATAGCGCCTTATCACGTCATTGACACGTCTCAAAGCACTTCACAGCATATACTGTAAAGTGGATTGTGTATTTTGTGGGCAAAACGCAGCAGCCAATTGTGCACAGCAGTGTCCCACAAACAGTCATGGATTGAGTGACACAATTTTTTTTTGAGGGATTATTAACCCCCCCCCGGAAAGCGATCCGCCAATCGACTAACAACCAGGTTCCTGCTTATTGCTAGGTAAACAGAGGTGGGTAGTGTGAGGAAACTTGCCTAAAGTTTCACCGTGACCAGGAATCGAATCAAGATCCTCTCGCTTGCAAGGCAAGTGCTCTAACCAATAAGCTACAGGACTCACAAATTGGAGATTTAGAAGATCAGGCACAAGATTTTTTTTTGGTTTTCATTAAGACAAGTATTGAATTGTTAGAATTATGCATCATGATGATGAATTTGAGAGCGAGGAACTTGAGTTGAGGATTTCTGGTATAATTCTCGGGAACCTGGTGGGCTTCCTTCAGAACATCAGGTAACGGATACCAGGGAACAAATTGTCACCACCCTTAGCTGCAAACCACTTGTCTTTAGATGTCATCTTTAGATGATTTAGATGTCAGTGGAAATCAAAAGGTGATGGAGGGGGCCTGAGTGATGAAGGGTGGTGCACATTTGCAATCTGAAGAACATCCAAGGCCCTTGAATTGCTAAAAATGCAGTGACTACACTTTCCAATAAAATCCTGTGGAGCGCTTTGAGACATCTCGACGACATCAAATATGCTATGGCAAATGCAAGGATTATTAAATTGGCTGCCGCATTCATCTGCAAAATACAGTCATTATATTTTATAGAAAGTCCTGTGAAGTGAAGTGCTTTGGCACGTCCTTTTGACGTGAAATGCACTATGTCAAATGTAAGGGTTATTATTTGTTATGAATTGTTAAATTATTCTAATAATTTATATCATAATTTATGTAATTAAAATAGAAGTTAATAGTCCCAAGGAGTTATTTTTTAATCCCATCGAAGGCCGTAGACGGTGTTTTATTATGTTTCCAGAAGTGTGCTGTTATATTCAATCTTTGGGCAGTATTTATTTTGCATGAAAACACAATATATATTGGTCTCTAATGCTGTGAACTGTTACTCATTTACTCTGTTGCCCATCTGGTACAGCTTGGCTTTACTTTTTTTTGTGGAATTTGCGAGTTGCTTGATGTATTTGTCATCTGCATGACAGCTTCCTTGGATGTGAGAGGTGCAGTGTGCTGGAGTAGTCCAGCTGTGTGTATTTGTCTCTGCATCAAGATGAGGAGCAGCACTTAGCCATAACTGACAATCAAATGTGAACAAGGACTCACTCGAGAGTGCATTTTTATGTTGTGTGCTTTGGTGTGCATTCGGTGTTTGACATAAGCAGGGATGTGTGTCATATTTTCTAGCCTTTAGAGCATCCATACTGTTTTCATGCACATTGATTAAACAATATAATAAAAAGTGGACCTTGCAATATCTGTCTTTTTAAATCTTGGAAGTAGATGTGGCGTTTGCTGCAGTGTTGTCCATTCCCATTGAAACCTTCATTATTAGGGTTATATTGAGTAAGACGGAAAGGAGGAAGCCAAAGTTGGTATTCAACTGTGAGAAGAGATGATTCTGCTGTGCTCTATGGCACACCGAGCCCTGGAACAATATGATATGTTTTTCAGTTTCCACAAATACTGATTTACTGAGCTAGTAGCAGTGGTTTCGATGGGACATGGTGTTGAGCAGAGACCAGGTGCTTCACCTCTGGAATAGGGAAGAAATAAATGAGGGCATTTCAAGGCTGGCCCTATTGTGCATCTCCAGACAGTCGGCTCAAAAGACAAGAGCAGAAACATGGGGACAAGGAGTGGTGCATGAAGACCTAACTGGAGAAGGGGTTTTGATAAATGATCACTGAAAGTTTATCAGCCCTTCAGAAACAGGTTTTGGTTGCGCTAATTCATAGGAAGAGATTTCACAAGAGTGGCTGAGTTGGGCGAGGGTGAGAATGTTAGTGACAGAGGAGCAACTGAATGTCGATGGTCCTAAAAGTTCTGGGTAATTGCTAACCTGTTACAGTTTCTCTTCTTCCCAATGATTCTGAATCAGAAGAGACCAGTTCCCTTGAGTCTGTGCTTCAAACAACATTGTGCAGTTCTACACATTTGTGAGACGTTAAGTTTTGCATACAGCAGTTGATGTGATACTTTGACTTTGGAATCCATCACCAGGAATGAATATTAATAATAATCATTATATTTGATACATCACCATTCACATTGGCAGGACCTTCGCAGGATTTAATATAAACAGTAGTGACTGTGTATTTTGTAGGCGAACAAATCAGAATGAATGAGTGATAGAAAAAGGCTTTATCACAGCAGAAGTTTTATATAGCGCCTTGTAACTTGTGTAAACATTCATGAGTTAATTGGAAAGTAAGTTAAACGTTTAATCTTGGTTTCAAAGACTGAAGGTGAATGGTTAGGGTTGTAAACATGTTCTGGGATAAGTCATATACTTGTATCAGTGGAGAACTTGTTAATCTAGTTATTTATTCTGTACCAATAACTTTTTATTAATAGAAAAAAAAGCACATAATTAGACTCCAAGGAGGAACATAAGAAATAAAGGTTTCCACTTGACGAACAAATACAATAAATATGATCATGTAAATGTCACTGTATTGCTGATCACTTATTCGAGTCGTTTTTTTCTGAATCACATTGGCTGGGCCTGAGGAGAGTTCTGCATATATAGAGAACACCAACCAAAACTTAAAGTCCTAAATCCATAATCCTGATTGCTTTTCTCTTGACTGTCTGATGCATTAATGTCCTTTCTGAACTCAGAGTTCCCAAAATTGCTCCAAATGTTCCAAGCGTAGCCTCCCTACTGATCTCTGCACATTTTATAAAGACAGCGTGAGTGGCTTAGCCTTTGGGGGTTGAGTAAATGCGCCAATTGTGACACTGAGATCAGGAAGGTACTTGTTTTGAGATAGCGAATCTCGGCAAGAGTAGCAGAAATGAGAGCAGTGGCCCACTTTTGCAATACCTGCATATGCGAATTGCTTGGAATGAACTATAACAAAAATGTTCTTTGAAATGACAGCCAAGCTGAGTTTTATGAGAATAATAAAGAGCCATATACTGTATTTATATGGCCTTACTTTAAAGTTCTAGTGGAATGTAACATAGTTGGATTTTGTCAGACATTGGAAAATAGTGAAAGCAGCATATATTTTAACTTGCATAATTGACTACTCTACTTAAAGTTTGTATTTCAAATATGTGAGTCCAAGATTGGGCAACATCTTTTTCACATTGTCCTTGCCATAAAATGTTCTCATACGTTGTCGTTTTCGTGAAGAAGCAGTTTGATGAGAAGTTAAAATGTCAGCAAAAGAGGAGTCGATAAAGGGTATGTATGATGTGTTCATTATAGAATTGCTTTTGTACAAAAATGCAGGGATAAGATCTAGAAGAGCAAAAAACTGATTTGTAATCTTTGATTGAATTGCTTTTGACGGTAATCTGCACCATCAGTGCTCCTCAGTGAAATATTGTTTGAAATGGCAGTTTTATAACCACACATTTGTGCATCAGAAATAAAAAAAACATAAAAGGTACACTGGCACATTGCACCACGTTGGGGAAATTGTATCATAGCCTTCACTGCCTAGGATTTGGCTATGCAGGTGCGGGAAGTGATATCAACACTGACCTGATAGGCCAGATATTGATCATGTTTTACTGTTAGGGAAGCCACCCAGCATTTTTGAAGTGACCTAGGTGGTTTCTGCACAAAGTTTGAATTTTTTTGGAAAGTAAGTGTCTGTTCCACACCCCAATCATCCTGTCAGCCAAACAGTGACGAAACAAAGCCCATTATAACAGGGGTTATGCTGCATTATGGTAATGTAGGAACGACTTCACTGAAGATCATCTGGGGAAATGCGGCTTCACTATCTCGACTGGAAAAAGTTATGAGCTGTCTAATACGTTCTGACTTTGTCCTCTGTTTTTAAGTTATTATTATTTTTCAAACCTGCTTTGTTCTTATTTAACAGAAGCAAAAGCTGCTGAAAGAAATTCAGGACCGAAAGCTTCCATATCTAACACCCAAAGATGTGCAGTTTGAAGAGCTGGTATACATTTTTTTTTACATATTAATGGGTTCTGAAAGCCATAAAGGACATTTAATTATTGTGAATAATTTCAGCTATATTGAGCAGCTGGATTCAGGCAGAAGACAAGACTGTGGCATCAAAAACCATTTCATTTTTTTAATTAAAGCATTTAATTTGACTGTGAATGGGAATATATAATGCATCAATATAGAATTTTGAGGGTTCCAGTAGAGTTTTTACAATACATCCATCAATGTGACAAGGTTATAGCCTTATATCACAGGTGGTAAATCGCCTGCCTCAGAACCACTTGCTGTGTGTTCAGCATCCAGGATTACAAGTCAGTTCCGTGAAGTGCTTTGAGACGTCCTCCCGACGTGAAATTCGCAATGTAAATGGATGTTGTCTAGCACTATTTGAAAAGAGAAGGGAGTTTCTCCTGGTGTCCTGGCCAAAGGTCTCCCAGATAGCATTTCTCATTCACTCCATGGTTGTTTTTGGACATCACTGTATGCAAGTTGGCCCCACATTTGCCCACAAAACACTAATTCACTATACTTTGCAGTAAATCTTGTGAAGTGCTTTGAGACCTCCACTTGACATGAAAGGTGCTGTATCAAATTCATGGATGATTATTGTTACTGTCAGAAGAAGACAATGAGGAGGGAAGGAACGAACACTGAAAGTCGAGCATTGGCTGTTATGTTTGAAACTGAGCAGCTTCTAATGAAGTGGCCTAAAAGTAGGTTGTCTGCTTGCCTTGCCAACCAGAAAATATTGCATGATGTTGATAATCAACCTATGATGGGGGAGGAGAGATGGGGAGATGCATAAAATATACGTATTGTATATAATTGTTTTCTTCACACGTGATTTATGGTTCCTGGTTAAAATTTTGTGTTTCGCGTATTGTTTTATGCAAATCTATCATTTCAGCACATTACGTCAATTTCATTTAGATACAAGTAGGTAACCTAAGTCAAGGCTTATTTGTAATATGCTCATCAAAATGCAGCCAGCTGTGCTTTGCAAGGCACCTGCCAGCCCTTGCCTTTCCCTTGCTTTCCATGAAGCTCCGTGTTTTCTTGAAACTGCTGGTAATCATTGTAGTGTGGACTTGTGTAATGAAAGTGACAGTAAGACCTGCATGATACCATGTCTCATGGGCCTGCAAAAAAGCTGAACTGCATTTGGACAGCATTTACCACAAGTGAGTCACAATATTAAAGCTTATATTTAGGGTTCTTCCGATGGTTCAGCGAGTTTATCCAGTGAGTAGCTAAGACACACAGAACTGGAATAACCAGTCTGTTATGAGTTAGCTAGTCTTGTCCTGGAAGCAGCCATTGTTCTCATTAAAGTGCTCTGGGATACTGCCCCATGTGAAGAGCGCTACATAAATGCCAGTTGTTGTTGTTCTCAAGGCTCCAGGTTAGGGGAAGATTCATTTTGTTGCCCACCTTTGAACACTTACTTCCTTACATTATGACTCAATAGCCTCTCAACAACTACTATTGAAGCCCGTACATGAATAACAGCCACTTGCATGAGATTCCTAACTGTAAAACAACAATTTGCGCTTTTATATAGGGCCCTTCTCGTAGGATAATGCCTTGGAGTGACAGGGTCGAACACTTAAATACTGCGCAGAAGATTATTTAAAAGTGACAAGTTAACCACACATTTGTGTAATAACATTAAAATAGGAAGTGCTATGAAAATCTGACTTTTACAAATGAGTATTCAGTCATTTGTGTGTTGTTCTGTCATTTGGGCTCACGGTGGTTATTCACTGTTCCTCATTGTCATTACTTGGATTTTTGTCAGTTTGTGTAAGATATTATACCTTCGCTTTCAGTTTTATCAATTATGTAAGAAAAAATTGAGCAACTGTTAGATTGTATATACATCTCTCTCTCGCTGTGTATATACATATGTAATTGTCTGGAATTGTAACTCCTTTTTGTTCTCTTCAGTCAAAGGCCAAATATTCCAAGTTAAACCTAAAACCAGCCAAATGTGTGCCTCAGGAAGTTCATCAAAAAGTCCAACAGGGCTTGACAACTCTGCGAGACTGTAAGTGCTTTGCACAAGATCTTGTTCAAATAAAAGGCAAAGATGTACTTACCCCAGTGTCCAGAATACTGATAGGAGACCCAGGTTGTACATATCGTTATTTGGACACACGACTGTTTGCAGTCCCTTGGTCATCGGATGGAGTTGAGGTCAAGTACAGTCGTGATGAAATCGGTAAAGCCTGCCAAGCTGTTAAAGATCTGAATGAATATTTGCATGGGGAAGCGATGAAGCTTTTGCTGGATCGCTTTTCATCTCAGGTTAAAGAGGAAGGATCTATGGGGAAGGCAACACCAAGCAAACCAGAGGAGCCCTCTGCAAGTGTGGTAGATGAAACTCATGACAAAAATCGAGGTACCACATTGCAAGACAGAACATCTTTTAACGTGGTCTTGTTGAACTACATGGATCCTTCAAACATGGTATACCTAAAAGAAGAACCTTATTTCGGAATGGGAAAGATGGCTGTGAGTTGGCATCATGATGAGAACCTGATGGCAAGGTCAACAGTTGCTGTGTACAACTACAGCTGTGATGGTATGTATAAGGAATGAATAGGGAATTACTAGATTACCTCTTGCTGTTTAATGTTTCCACCCCCTGAAGCTTTCTTCACATTCTACATAGCGACTGTGCACCTGCAAGCTTGTACACCAATTTAGATTTACTGTTTGCTAATTGTTTTAGAGCACTATAGAAATGTTAAATCAACACATGTGGGCAGGCCAGTTTCTATATTTTATGGAATCCATTTTGTTTACATAAAACTGCGTTGCCTTTATTAGTGCGAGCAAGTGCGTGTGTGCATTGTAATTAAATAACTGGTTGGATGCCAAAAAATATTAAATCTGCAACAACAACAAAAATTCACTGCTGGGTCCCTCAGGTGCACGTTTCCACTCGTATAAATGCTTTTATTGTCCTTGACATCATCGTTTCTATTGGAGTGATTTGTCAGAAATGAACTGGCTGCTGTAGCATGCTGACTTTATTACCATTCCTTGCTTTCAAGATACTACTGGGGTTGGCTTTGAACCGAAGTACTTGGTTCGAAACCTGCTGCCCTTTTTTGCAACACGCTTTCTTTAACTCCCCGAGAAGCAGCTTTATCAAGCTTTAAGAACAAACCTGTAACTGAGGGACCTCAGCTCACACACGCCAATTCATCAAATGTAAAGGTCTTTGTTTGTTTTAATCTCCTAACTCACTGGTCGTAGCTATTCTGCTCATTTGTTACCGATAATTATCAAAGCTTTTGAATGACTAACCTGTGAATGCTGCCTTGAGTGTTTTGGCAATAAATTTTTAAAAACACAAAAAAAACTCATTTTAACGAGCACATTCCAAAGGTGCTGGATTTATTAGGAAACCCCAGGAAACTTTGATTGAAATTACTCTTTCTGATTGTAGTCCTACATTTTATTGGTGCCATATTGCGAACAGTGTTGCACTTAGTAATGCCTGCCAAAACTTCAGCAAATTCTGTGAAACAGACGTCCAGTTAATCCGCAGTGGGTTCTCTCTTTAATTTTTATGCTACATTGTATTCAAAATGCCTTCAAACTAAGCAATGCAATTTGCAGGCTTCTTAAAGTACTGCTGTGAAATTAAGATCCGATTTATGTGAGCAGTGCTCTTTTAAACAAAACCAAATCCCCCAAAAGACTTTAGTATTGATTATTTGCTGGGTGTTCGGTAGATCTTTGTTTTCTCATTTGTGGAGTCTATGATAGAAAAGCCTGGAGCGGAGTAACCACGACAGTGACAGCCTGAAAAACAATTGGGGCTTTTCATTATGTTTCCTTTTTTTACATTTTGAGTACAAGTGAAATCACTTGACAGATTACTGTGCACGTGCATCAGACTGTCAGACATTCTGATGAGGAGTTTCTGCAACACATGAAATCCTTCACCGCTTAGGAATTGACTGTATGATGAATTCATTTGTTTTCTATATAAATAATCTCCTTTTGAATATGGTGGAATATCTCTTAGGGGGACAGATTTATTATAATGTACCTTGTTATGGTTCTGATAAATCACTTTTAATTGAACCCCACCCACCATCACTGTTTTGTTCAACAGATTTAAGACCTACCACAGCTGAAGGTAGCGGAAAGTCAGTGGAAGGCAGAGACCCAGCATGTTGGCACATTGGTCTGAAAATAGCCTGGGACATTGAGACACCAGGGTTGGCATTGCCACTGCATCCAGGCGACTGCTACTTTATGCTTGGTAACATTTTAATATTTTACCTACTTAATGTCCTGATCATCTATAAAACGCTTTGTGGCTGAAGGTCAAGGAACAGAAGGGTTGTGTTTAGTATATCTGCAACACTCTCATCTTTTTTCTGTTTGAAATGAAAGCCTGACCAAACCTGTTTTATGTTACAGTATATAAATGATTATTGCATTTTGAAGTACAGTGGACTCGCCTTCATATCCTAAAGCTTGCTTTTTTTTTCAAAGTAGCTGTGGGGTCTTGCAACCTTTTCAGGTTCAAAATTAAAAGCACGTGCGACAGCTTGTGTTTTTATTACCGTATTTGAGTCTATAGCGGATGAAGTGTGAGATTGTTCTTTTTAAACATGAGCTTGCCGACTGAAAAATGAATTATTTTCAAAAAGCACCTTCCAGTATAAGTGAAAAAGAATGTGAGCCCATGGAATTGAGCGGCACTGAGCTGCCGTAAGAGGCACAGTTTGCTGTGTACACTTGTATACAGTATATGCAAACTTGTGTATAATGTAACATAAAATTGGCTTGCTGTGGGACAACCATGGATAGAATTCTTACTGCTAACAAAGTGCAGTTGAAGATACGTGGGGATTTTATGTATTAAAAAAAGAAGCGGTTTCTCACAATTTAATGATAAAATATCAGTCTGCAAGAGAAGTGTGGACTGGGTTGTGATGTCACAAGGTACAGTTTTCCAGGGTGTCTGATACATGACCTGTTTGGTGTAAGCCATAAATTTACACACAATAAGAAGGCATGTAAAGGCTTTAATGCTTTCTGTACCCTGAAGTGTTAAATAGAGCTGTTTTAGTTTCATTGCTAAAGAATGTTGATCGTGTCCCATCCAAAATGTTCAAAAAAGCGCTCTTCTTCCCGGACGACACACTGACATTTAGACCTTAAGGACAGGAAACCGAGATAAAGGGTTTCAAGAGTGATAGTCGAGTGACGATTGCAGGCTCACCCTCTGCATAACCTTTTTATGGAAACACTCACACCACTAGATACTGGCTAAATTATAGACATCAGTGCACTGGAGAAAAGAAACACTGTGATTTAGTTTTCTTAGAGTTTTCTTTTACTGCTTTTACTAATACTTTACAATGACTTTCCCACTGAAAGTATTTGCACTGTGAACTGAGCTGATTGCGAAATGGTTTACAAGCTGTCGGTAAATGAGTTGATCGGACTAACGCGCATGCAAACCCTGAAAATGAATTAATTTGTTTTCTTTTTGAAAAAGTTCTTTATTTTTTGTGTTTCACCTTACGTTCTCCTGCACGGTTCGTTAAGCAAGAGTGTGAGCAAGGCATCCCGTTTCCAGGTGCTTACCAATCTATGACGAACCAGTGGGAAAGCAATCTGGGATGATTTTGCTTCCTTCTGAATTGGGAAGCACTTTGCTTCTGTGCAGCACTCTCCTTCCCCATTATACTGACCAACACTTGAAGCTTGACCTATCACTCCGTGTATCAGCGTACAGCCTAATTCATGGTGCAATCAATTTCTTCTATTTGAATGGTGTCTGCCATTGATTGCATATGCATAAATAATATGGGTGTAATATACTAGTCAGAATATGGGGGGAAAGACTATGTTTAATCAAAACATCATTCACCATAAAGATTTTGTTTGGTTCTACAATCATTTGGGTTTCCAATTTAAGGGATGTGAGCATGCCAATTGAGGATGACTACTGAATGGGTGTTTTGAGTCCCGAAACATATTTTATAAATATATTCTATTCTTAATAGGAAAAAGATGAAAGAACTTTGAAAGTTGCCTTTAGCCCAGTCGAAACACATTTCTTTCATCAACCAATGCAGTCACAAGTGGACACTTTCTGCTAACAATAAAATGCCCAGCTTTTAGCATTGTTAAAAATTTAAATGGCCTTGGTTGGTTTCTGACCCATATTCCACTCTGAATTCTGCATTCCACATAGCTATTGTAGTGCAGCTTAATTTGTATGAAAATACAAAAGATTAATTGTAAACTTTGAGCAATGATTTATCAGATTCAAAGGATGGAATTTTTGCTAATCTACAACATCTGCCTACACGATTCCCTTCACATCCTGTAGGCCAGATCCAGCTGAAGGCAATGCTAACAGCAGAATGAAAATGTTTCCTGTTAAACTTAAAGTGGTTGTTCCTAAACACACTTGCAAAACGCTTGACACCTCCTCAACATATGTGCCAATGTTTGTCCATCACATGTGTCACATTAGATTGCTTTTTTCCTGCCCTGCTAATGTTTATCCATACCGTAAGTAAGGGGAGACTCACTCAATTTATCCTTATTTTAAAGAGAGACAATGAACAATTCTTTGAAAACATAATTCTGTATAATAATTGTGCGTTATGTTTCACCCACAAAACATAGTCAATTCACTTTATCGTATACTGTGAAGCACTTTGAGATTCAACGATGTGATAAGGTGCTATATCAAATGCAAGGATTATTATTATTTACTATTAATTATACTTCACTTACCGGGTTACCTATCTGAATAGGAAACAAACTGTTGAGATAATTGTGAGCTTGAATCATTAAACATTTTTTCCGCTTGATAGACTATCCAAATCGAGCTATCCATTTTTAGTTTTTGACTGCCATAATCCTTGGCATTTTTTCTGTCTCGCAAGTAAAAAATTTCCAAATATGTGCTATGCATTTTTAAGAAATAGAATCATTTTGCTTTAGCAGTGATTGAATTGTTTTATGCCCGAGTTTCAATTCTACACTGACTGTTGCAGACATTTCTTTGTCAATGATGGACTTGATTTCACTGTGTAATGTGTGTGCAGACTTCCAGCAGCAAGTGAGATATTGTAGGCTCCTGCAGTTATTCTTCATTATGCGTACATTGATAGCAGGCACTCTGGCAAAGAAATTGTCAGGGATAGCCAACAAGATTGAATCGTTCAGCCCACAAGCGCACCTCTACTTTGATTAATTATAGCGATAACAGAAAAAAGGCGTATATCATGGAGTCAGCCTACACTTTGGGGGGAAAAGTCATGATAAAGTAGCTAGTTAAGCTAACAGTCAAGAAATATAGCATCATTTCTTTCCCCTTAGGCTGATGTCTGGAACAGAATCAGAATCTGAGGGCAACCCTCTGCACTCGATCCTGGCGGGGCAGGAATTCCACTTGCAGTTTGTATGTAGATCCATCTTAAATAGCATCAGAACAGACAAGAGCCAATGGTTCCATTTTGGTAACATACTTCCCTTTAACTTTGAAGCTCCAAGTAACATTGACATGTTGGCTTGTCATCTACCTCCACATATTGGAAATATGCCAAAGGATGTGCAGCTGTGTAAGGTGTTGTTAATACAAATAATCCATGTTGTGAATATCACAAGTTGGTTCCCATCATTACCTTATTGAAAATGTATTAAAAACACAAACGATGATCCTTATATTTGATGCAATTCTTTCACGTTGGGACGATCTCTCATAGTGTTTCACAGGATTTATTGTAAAATGTAGTGACTGTGCATTTTGTAGGCGAATGTGGCAGCCAATTTTCTCACAGCCATATCCCATAAACAGCCATGATGCCAAATTTGGGTAGTGCAGTCTCGAAGATCCTTTGTACTGAAAGAGTGAACAAGAGAATGGGTTAAGCAGGGGTGGTTGCAGTTGAAAAGAACATGAAGAGTGAGGAAAAAGCGAATATTATTGTCATAACACTTCACTACTTTTCAGAAAAGAAAATTGTCCTATTACAAATTTCCCATTGTAGCACAGGATCAAAATTGAACTTCACAGTTTGATGTTGATTGATGAAATGCCTCAGCTGGACATAAGCGTCTGTTGCAGATGCAATAATGTATTTCATGTTTAGCTATATCGCTCCCAGTCATTTCTGTTCTCTTCAGTATTGATAATTGTTTGCATTTGCTAGTCGGGTGTATTCTGCAAGTCTATGACAATAATCTTTGCATTTGATATAGCGCTTTTCACGTCTTCTAGACGTCTCAAAGTGCTTCACAGAATATACTGTAAAGTGAATTGACTGTATATTTGTGAGTGAAATGCAGCAGCCAATTGTGCGCAGCAGTGTCCCACAAACAGTCGTGGATTGAGTGACCAAATTGTTATTTTATTTATTTAATATTTATTTATTTGTATTTTATATTTATTTCTACGCTTCTTGAATTATTGCTTCCTCTTGCCTGCTTGTTTTGTAATATTCAGTGCAGTATCTGTCTTGAAGATTAAATTTCATTTTTAATATTTTTTTGTATGGATTAAAGACGATTGTGTCTTATAATCTGTCCTCAGACGATCTTAATATGACCCATCAACATTGTGTTCTGTCTGGTCTGCAACCTCGCTTCAGCTGTACCCACCGAGTGGCAGAGGTAAGATTGAATGTTAAAGCAGCCTTGCTTTATTTTCGAGCCGTTAGCAAAATTTATTTCCTGACCTGATGGTGCAACTACTATGCTGTTGTAATCTGAATATTAAAATTCACATAGATGCTTCTGCGTTTCTTCTCCCTTTTTTTTCCCCAATCTGAACTCTTACGTCCCAATGTTGCATAAAACTGGAAATTGAAACAAAGATTATTTTGATACCAACGTGCCTTGTTCAAGATTACTTCCAGAGATTTCACCGACGTTATAAATATTTCACCAAACACATTACAATGTGAAACAAAATCAAGCNTTTTTGTTAAATTGCAATGGACATGTCATACATTTTTCATCAAAGTATGCAAAGTGAAAATGGGAAGCGTAAATACAGATATTGCTTGTGTATTTATGGCATGTACAAGAGAGGGTTGCTTTGGCATTCATGGCAAATTGGTTACGCTACCTGATCTTTATATTTTACAAAGGATGATAACCTTAATGCAGTGGAAGGCATTGCTGAATGAATTTGAAGCTCTTCTTCCTCACAGATACCCCTAGTCAGGTTAACTGAGATAGTTCCAGTGTTTGATCTGCTAAATACTATTATCTTTCAATGTCAAATGAATTTGGATTAAATAGATAAAATTAGGTGATACACAAGCCTGTCACAATTGGTGATATGGAAGCTGAAAAGTTCAAGGGGTTTTAAAACAGTCAAAATGTATTCTCTTGCGTTTGATTATTTATATTTCCAAAAGTTGAAAGTAATTCCTGTTGTAAATCAAATTTGTGTCTCATTTAGGGAATACTCTCTTCAAGTCCAAGTTGAAATAAGCTGCTTAATGCAGCTTACATTGCATTGTAATTGTAATTAAAGATTAATTTGGATTGAAGCAATATTTAAAAATCTGCACAAAAGTGAAATGAGGCCATTTTTGGACTCGTATTTTGTTGAGTCCATTTTAAGGAATAGATATGTACAGGAAACACCGATTCCTGTTGAAAATTGTTACGTTCGTGCAAGTAAGTTGTAAACTAAAGCAACTTGCATTTATATAGCAACATCTGGTCTCGGCTTTACAAAACCTAAAAATGAATGAGCATTACTTGTCTGAATAGGTTTATTCAGGACGTGGAGTCCTGTAGCTCAGTGGTTAGAGCACTCGCTTTGCAAGTGAGAGACCTGAGTTCAATTCCAGGCAGAGGGCGAAACCTTGGGCAAGTTTCCTTACTCCACACAGAGCCTAATAACAATCCCTCCAAAAACCCAAAACAATAATAAATTGGTCATTTTCAATCTACGACTGTTTGTGGGACATTGCTGTGCGCAATTGGCTGCCGCGTTCGCCCACAAATATACAGTCAATTCACTTTACAGTGTGTTCTGTGAAGCGCTTTGGGACGTCCTCCCGACGTGAAAAGCGCTATATCAAATGCAAGGATTATTATTATTATTATTTAGGTTAGTTCTATTTATTGACTTAAAGCAACACCAAGAAGAACTATCAAATTAAAGCAAACCTGATAATGTGAGCAACTGAATATTTTTAACAATGAAAAGTTTGTTCCGAAATCTAATCAGGTTAACATTAAAGTTGTAACTTGTTGCTTGGACCAGATTTTAGCCAGGACAACAAGAGAAAATACGTTCTCTTTTGCAAATAGTGGCAAAGGATCAATGTTTGCAATACACATTTAATTAAGGGGACAGGGGTTATGTGGCCAAAGTTCTGACACCACACAAGTGCGTTTGAATGGAACAGGGGATTTTCATTGAGAAACTTTGTCTTTTTCTACAAAAGTATGACATCCTGTATATATTGCTTGTGCATAACTTCAGCTATACCCACCAAGCTTACAATGTGTGGAACAGAAGTTGCTGCATAATTGATTTGACTAAAGTTTTTAAAAAAAAGCTACAAGCTTATGTTGATAGCCACCTGTGGGACTGCAGTGAATACCTTCTTCAGCTACTAAGATATTCAACAACAAAAACAAACTCCAGGTTTTGTGAGTTGATAAATGAATTGAATGCTCCAGGCCCAAGCCATACATACCAAGTGTGGTTGAAATGCTTTGCTGCATCAGCCATAATAGGTGTAGCTACTGCAATTGGAGAGGAAAAGGAATCAGACAGGACTCTGAGTGCTGACCACTTTACAGTAACTCCTGCTGTGGGGACTTGGCTTGAGGATGGGATAGAGCTCGGCTGGGATATCGCACACGGGAGAAATTGGCGACACCCACTAGTTAGGTTCACACGTGCTTATTAGCCACTTACACAGATCTGAGAACCCATGGATCCTTACCTCAGCAGTGCTTTACAGGAAGGAAGGGAAATTATTTCAAAATTATTTCAAAAATATCAAATAGAAAGAAAGAGCAGGATACCAGGAGATTTTAATCCATAAACATGTCAGAAATATACGTGGGGTTTTGGACTATTCTGACAGTAGCTCTGTCACAAACCAACAACAACAACCACCGCAATATTACGTATGTATAGCTCCTTTCACATTGGGAGGCTGGCCCAAGACGCTGGATAGAGTCTTGCACCTGGGGTCGGGGTCGGGGAGGGTGGAGGGCAGGGGAGGAAGCAGGGAGATTGAAATCACGGTCAAAGAGGAGGGTATTGAGATGGGTTTTGAAGGAGGCAAGGGAGGGGGCGAGGCGGAGGGACTGTGGGATGGAGTTCCAGAGTGTGGGGGCAGAGTGCCAGAAGGCCCATCCGCCAATAGTGGGGCGAGCAAGGCAGGGGACATGAAGCAGGCCGGAGCCTGCTGAGCGGAGGGAGCGGGCAGGATGGTAAGTGGTTAGGAGATCACAGAGGTACTGGGGAGCAAGACCATGAAGGGGTTTTAAGGTGAGGACCAGGATCTTGAACTGTATCCTCTGTGTGATGGGAAGCCAGTGGAGTCAGGCGAGGATGGGGTTGTTAGGGTCACGGAGCCTGGTCCAGGAGAAGACACGGGCTGCATAATTCTGGATGATCTGCAGTCTATGGAGGGAGGAGTTGGGTAGCCCAACAAGCTGTGAGTTTGCATAGTCAAGCCTCGATGTAATGTATGAGAGTTTCGACAGCCTGTGGTGTGAGACAGTGGCGGAGTCGAGCGATGTTGCGGTGGTGGGGGAAGGCAGAGCGAGTCATGGTGAGGATGTGGGGCAGAAAGGATAGTTGAGAGTCAAACAAGACGCCAATGTTCCGGACTGGCTTAGCAAGGTGGAGTGTGCAATCGTGGATGGTGATGCTGTCAGGGCCTGAGGTGAGGAGGCGCTGACGGGAACCACTCTCATAATTTGAGAAATCAATGCAGTTTTCTATTTGTTTTGGCATAAACTTGGTATTACCGCCATTCACTACGCAATTTATCTTCCCTGAAGAAAGCTGTACAGAGCCTCGCCCAGAGCCTCTAACTGAACAGAAGCTAGTAATGTAAAACACAACATGTAGCAAACTCTTAACTGAACCACATTTTGAAAACCAAGCCTGTTTCAATTAAATTATTTGATAATTTGGGTTAGTTACAGTGGGTATTATTGCAACTTTTCTTTAGTGATTTACTGATGATGTATGTTTATATTTTCTTCATGTTTGAAGTGTCCTAACACAACATGGCATTCCAGCACTAAAAGTGGGTCCTTGCTCCAAGCCAGAGCTTGCTAGTGCTGTTGTGTAAGTTGCCATAAGGGCTTATTGCCTACAGATGCATAACCCTTTTGTCCACCCCGTACTCTACACTATCTTTCCCTGTGGCCTCTGTCAATTCTTTCCCTGTCGGCGATTCACTGGTGAGAAATTGTAGGTGCAGATTCTCGTCCTCAGTACTCAGATCTCAGGCTTCTGTGGCACAGTCGCTGCTTTATTAAGTTTAAGCATTCGCTTGTTACTGTGGGGGTTAAGTGGCCATGCAAAAAAATGGTCTTTGCTGTTGTGCCAAACAGGGCAAAATTCTATTGAGCTGACATAACGCCTTCTCAGCTACTTTTCTATTAAAGTGAAGCTGGATTATAGATCACAAAGTCATCACGTAAAGTCACGTAATCCGGCTTCACATATGTGGTGCATATTAAAGATATTTATTAGCAAATCCAATGGAGCTGTGCCAATCATTCCAGTCGACTACAGTGAAACTGCACAGATCCTGTTACTTTCTTGTGTTGATTTTTTTTAGTCAATTAATCGATTGTCACTTAGGAGACACAATGAAGCTGAATATCTACCCAGCAGTAGTGTAATACTGCATGGTGCATTGTTTGCACCAAGCACACAATTCAAAAATTCTCAACTGGCTCTCAATCACTCAAATCTGATGATTTTCTTGAGCCAGTTGTAACACTTAAAGTGTATTATCTTGATCCAGATATAAATATTCTCCAGTCTCTGCACATGTGGTATACGATTTCATAACACAATGGTTTTGCATTTATCAGGATTTAGGCATGCATTTGACTCCAAATCCCCAGCTGTAAGGGAGTGCTTATAAAACAATGGCAGGCATTTAAAATTAAATAACATTCTGAAAGGAGTTATGGTTAAGTTTAATGTTTGTGATTAAAGAATAAATCTAGGTACTTCTGCATAATACAAAACAATACCTGAATTGTGTAAAAAGAAAAAAAGATCAAAATTGATGTGTTTTTTTTAAAACTGCACTGAGACTTGTAAGGTTATATTCCACATGGCAGTAAATTTAGCACACTTTGACCATGTTGAACTTCTAAAGAGAAACCTAAAATGCATTGTCAGATTGTGGTAAATATACTGATTTCATCCTCTGCCTAAAGCTTTCTATTTTTTGTTTCTTCTGTTCTACATTTTTCCCCAGATCATGGCTTCTCTGTAAATTTTGTTTGTGGCGATGTTAGGGTGCAATTCATTTGTGTGGTTGGATGTTAAGGCTTTTCCTCTTTGTCAAAAACTTTGGCCTCATTGATCTATTGTTGTCTGTACGTTATAATTGGGTATGAATGAGCCCATTTAATATACAGTCAATCGATTTGTTTTGCAGTGTTCCAGTGGCACTCTGGGTTATATTCTTGGACGTTGTGAGGTAGCCATGAAGAATATGCAGAAAGATCCCGAATCCGGCTCTTCCTGCCTGGTTTCACTGGAACCTGCTGTTGTGAAACGAACAGAAGAGATTCACAATGAGGTAAAACCAATTCTCGGCACATTGATTTTACTTTTGCATGATTAATGGCGTGTTCATTAGTATTAATGGCTCTGCAAAGGGCCTCGCGAAAAACAATATTGTAAGTGTTCTGAGTTAATTCTATTTGGGTATAGTTGTACCTCACTTGCCTGTATATAAATTGCCGAACGGCAACATGTCTGGATAATTCATGAAAAGAAAATTATTTCTTTCAGGTTTTAGGACAAGGTTGTCTTAAGGTCACACACAAATCCATAGCATGAAATCAGACCGATTATAAGCTTTGATTGCTTAAACTGTGTTAGTTAAAATACTGTTGTATGGTGAAAATTAAGGCAGCAGTCAGTTTATCTGTTCATCTGGAAATCCCAGGAAAGTGTTGGAAATTACCTTTTAAATTCAAAACAATATATTTTATACATTACCTACCAAGGCAATTAAGCTGAAGATTTCTGCTTGTGAAATTTTCAATATGTAGTAAATGGTGGATCCATTTTATTGTTGGCTCATTTTTTTTATCTCTTTAATATGCAAGCTTTACGATTACTTTTGAGACTTCTACTGCTAGTCCAAATATCTAATGAAACTCTAAGATAATAATTATTGTTGGGAATATGGAATTTCAAAGTAATTTCAGTCTTACACTGTGAAAAGTGTTTGGTTATTCTCAGAGCCAAATTCACTGGGCACAAAGTCCTTTGTGACATGATTTGTTTCTTCTGTGGGCAATCTCCACATAATCCCACGGCAGAGCTAAGATTTGTTCATATTTGTCGAACACTTCAGAGGACTACATTGTCTCAAGGTCTGGAATGGTGTGAAGAAATAAAATGATTATGGGAGAGGAGCAAGGAGTGCTACACCACGGTAATTGTACTGCCTTGCTGACTAATATCTCTGCAAAGTGCTTTACAATCCACTTTTCTGAATACAACTGCAGCAAAGCGACAGCATTTCTAAACAGTGGTGAAATTCAGTAATATAGCTGTCTGAAGCATTTTTCAGGTCTGAATTGCAACACTTGCTTCTGTTCAAATCATAAACCTCTTTATATATCGCAGTCTTTAAGTTGAATCAAAGTTGGTCCGTGGACGGTGGTTAGAAAATATGACAGAGTATAGACTTGCACTGAAAGGTCAACAGTTATTTCTGCAGTGTTGGGAATGACAGATTGGGTTGGTTGTTGAATGTTGCCCACGAGAGACACATTTTTTGAGTCTTGATTTATTGACTCCAGGCGGCATTGTCTTAAATATATATTTTTCTGACTTCACAATGTGTCCCAGTGATCGGCTTTGCGGAGAGAGTTCCTGGTGTGTTGTATGTCTGTGTGTGTGTGTGTGTGTGTGTAAGTGTGCGTGAGTAAGCATTCGAATACAGCAAGCCAAAACAATTACCTGGCCAACCTTCAGATAGTTGCAGCAATGCATACTAACACACCATTACAGAATGAATTAAGCTATCAGTGCAGCTAGGAGATCATTGTTTGGTCAGTAATAATTTACTCTAAAATATATGATCTGGCAGGCTTGATTGATTGCTGGGCCTTTGAGCCAGCTGGACAATGCTTTCAGGTTTACGCCAACCTGCAGCTCTGGGGTTTAGCTAAGAGCATGCTAGCTATTGATTCAGTGCTCATCACGTACCACCTTGCAGTCCTCGGAAAATTGATTGAGTTTAGTCTGTGAGCAGCGCAATGTAGAAAAAAAAAACTCAGCTACTTAAATTGAAAGGGGTTAGTGCAGTTTGACTCTCGGGTCACCGTTGAGAATATTGGTGGGTACACACTCACAGCAAGGGTAATGTATGTTTCAGCATGTCAGAATGGAATGTCAGTGCAATTGGTAGTTGGACAGGTACAAAGGAAAGGAAATATGGATTACCTGAGCAGGTGGCAATCAGTTGCCAGCACTTCTAAATAACTTACTCCGTGTCTTATGCACACTAAATGTCAAGGACTGTTGTACCTGACCTTCGATATTTAGTCCGAGCTAAAAATTTGAGTCCTTGGCTCTAACAGCGTTGGATCCTGTTGTGCAAACTGTCTGGGATGTTTAGAACAGTGCTGCTGAAGCTCATTACTAAAAACAGTGACTGGGTAAGTAATATTTGGCATATAACTGAATACATCTTCAATAGCCTTCACACCTGCTTGCAGTCTGGCATTTCAACAAACAGCCTGGCTTACCAAGCAGTCACGGAGAAAATCACCAAATCTTTTCTGAATGAGTAAATTGTTGCCAAAATAGATCTGTCACATTGAGGGTAGTTGTAACAATTTTTGCAAAGCAGGTTGTGTGTGTCAAGGTACATTTGTGCCTGGAGGTGAGAGCAGGACTATTGACTGCACTGCAGTGAGTAGTGAGCAATAATTTGCTTCCACAGATCTCGGAAACTAAAGAATTAAAGTTGTAGCAAATCATTTCATAATTCATATTTCAGAAGAGCACAAATAATATGGTGTGGGTTCTTTATCTGAATTAATACTTTCGCATCTTTCTCTTCTCCCTCCCACCCTGTCCCCACGCTCCGGGGGAATCACTATTCAAAGATGTGCGAGACCACTTTGAGATGATTTTCCTTCGTATTACTCTCCTTCCCTGTAGGACGAGTTGCCTGGTATTATCTTTGTACTCCCTCATGGGACAGCTGAAATCAGTTGGTGGTGAATTGTGGAGGTAAACGTTTAACTTTCTGACATAGGCTGTACTGTACTAGCATCAATCTTTTTTGATCTTCATTTTTTTTTGAGCTTGGAATCGCACAAGCAATTAAACATTGTAAACTTTCAGGAACAACAACTTGCATTTATATAACTTTCTTCACGTAAAATAACTTCTCAGACATTTTACAGTGAGGGGGCAGACACCCAGCAGGGGAGAAGGGGGAGTTTGGGGGGGCGGCCATAGCCATGGTTGAAAAGTTCGGTTTTTAGCTGGGAGTGGGGTAAGGTGGAGCGTTTGAGGGATGGAGATCTAGATGTTAGAGACATAGTATATGAAGGCTCAGCCACTGTTGCTGAACGGAGAGGCCTGGGGAGCGCAATTGCATTGATCCGTGCAAGTAGTATAGATTACCGGGTATGGGAGGCTTCTGAAAGATGGAATATGTAAAGTTGGCAATGCTGTGGTGTAACAATACACAATGGAAATTAACTGAGCGCAATACATGGGGATGTGGTAAAACAATGCTTTATGCACAATGTTCTTGTTTATTGACAATGAATCATACTTTTCTATACAGCTGTCATTATATTATGATGGTGCATACATCCAAATGTGTATTTTTGAAATGTGTGTTTGAGAGTACAATCTCGGAGCAATGGGAGTCTTTGTTTGGAATGCCCTCCCTAATTACAGACAGTCCATGTGATAAATACTTCATCATGATAAATCATGTCAGGAGAGTGGATTAATTCTTTTTTAACTTCAGTTTCCTACAAACACTACACCGGAATTGTCTTTCCTCTCCTCCTGAAGAGGCTGATTCATGATTGCTGACCTACAGTACTACAGGCTACTTTACAGCACCTCACCCAAGTGACTGGTCATCATGTGTGAGGAAAGACCATGATTACCAGGAGGTTAATCAACTATGAGAACCATCAAAGCACCCAACCCAATCTACTCTCAAAACATAGGGTAGACAGCTCATGTCCACACACATTTACATATTCACTGTGGCTGAAATTTATATTAGTAGGAATAGTGACATTAATAATAATAATAATAATAATCCTTGCATTTGATATAGCGCTTTTCACGTCGGGAGGACGTCCCAAAGCGCTTCACAGAATAGACTGTAAAGTGAATTGACTGTATATTTGTGGGCGAACGCGGCAGCCAATTGCGCACAGCAATGTCCCACAAACAGTCGTAGATTGAAAATGACCAATTTATTATTGTTTTATTTTGGAGGGATTATTATTACCCAAACTGTCACATGTATCAATGCTGTTGGGCTCTGTATGAAGCAGAGACTGGATGCTAGTATTTGGGAAGAAAGGAAATCAAATAGCCAATGAGCCATGATGAAGGAATAGATGGATGGAAATATCCTTTTTTTGGTCAGCCGGGTGCCCGACACGTGCCAAAACCCATCACCATTCTTAAGAGTATCCCAACCGAACTGAGAATTCCACGCAGCCCCCCCTACACATGGAAATCCCAGAGATAGATTATCGGAATGAAATGCGCACTCTCTCCCTGGAGGGATGCATCCTGTAATAATGGCAACTTCTAGCAGGATGCCCCCTCCATTATAATTCTGCATTGGTAGCGTTGCTATATGTAGCTCTGGTGCACTAACTGTACAAGTGGACTTTAAGAATACCAAGTCAGTTGTTCCTTCTATCCTGCCAATATTTCCCCAAATAAATAAACAAATAAAACTGTTATCACTTTGTGGCTGTTTGTGGAATATTACTGTGCACAAATTGACTGCTGCTATCACCCACAAAATACACGGTTAATCATGTGAATTGCTTTGAGACGTCCTCCCAGCATGAAAGTTGCTGTATCCCATGCAAGGATTATTATTATGATTTTCCCAGATGTAACCAAGGATAATCACGGCATCCGTACCATTTCCTCAGTTAAGATCAGCAAATTTAGCACAAAAAAGGGATTTGAGCTTGCGACTTTACCGTCTGCATTACATAGTTTTCTGAAATTTTAACCAACTTTACCACCTCTGTTTACATGACAAAGACACGTTTGAATTCAGAATTCTGCAGCCGCGGTTTAAAATTCCTTTTAGGCCACCCTGAACCAAGTACTGGGTGTGTCCAAATGAACTCCCACCAATGTGACGATAGACTTGAGATAAAAGAACTAGTTGTGCTATAATCTTCAACTGAGGCTTTATGAACCGTGCTGCCAACCACATCTTTTTTGCAGCTGCATTGTTAAACTGTTTCTGCTTCAAAACCATTACTGCAAACAGCCTGACACAGCACTCAAGTATAAACAGATTTCAAACAGTTTGATGTCTTACCCCAGAAACGCATTATTCTGTGCCAGAATTTACTAGTCTTCCAACCACTGTGCTCCTGAAATGGATTTTTTTTTACTGCAAAAATTGGCAAAGTGATAAAGGACTGTTGTCATCTTGTTAGGCACACTTTAGTGACTTTGAACTTGGAAACGTGGTAATAACCATTGATGCTATGTGTCAATAATCACATTTTGCGATGATACATTCTTAAAGAAAATAAAAATACTTTGCAAACTTCTGCTGCAACAAGTCTAGATCTAGTCTAGATCCAGGTCAGTGCCAGCTTGCATCAACAGCCAACGTGGCAAAGTTTTCCCCTTCCTTTCCCTGCTTCAAAACTCCTCATTACAGTGACAACACGTTGCAAGTGCACTTTCTCATCATGCTACTGTCCCACAGTAATTATGTAATTGTGCTTTACTCTTTACTACCACGTTTCATACAATCTATTTTTACTGGGGTTTTTTACACACACACAACGCGCTGTGCTTTGAACTGTTGCCTAACCAAGCCCGATTCACCCTTCACCCATCCTAACACACTGTCCAGCAGAAATTTTTGGTTAATGTTTTTTGGTCAGGCGGGTGACTGCACATGCGGAAATCCATCACCATGCTTAAGAGAATCCAAACGAATCAGAGTTCCACATGGCTACGTCTCTGCATCCTATTGGGGTGCACACACTCCCTAGTGGTATGCACTTTGCTTTTACCGAATTCTAGAGAGTATTAGAGTCAGGTAAGTGGGAGCCAAGGCTTAGTGACCCCAGAGTACGTGGTGGAGGTGCCGCTGGAGTTTAACCAGCTAAAGCCACATAGCTGGAGTGCACTGTCTGGCTAACTTCCTGCTGGTTGCCCATCTAGGACCAACCAACAATGACACCAACAGCAACGTGCATTTGTATAGCACCCTTCACACGGGGTAGTGTTTAAGAGCGTTTAACCTTATCCATCAGAGCTTTGGCTTGTAGGGTTAACAGGAGCTGTGGTGAAAAAAACTCAGCTCCCAGTACTCCTGGTTAGTGATCATTAATGGAAACGCTGACTGATTTTTCCAGAGTGGGACTGAAGCTGAATTGTAGCCTCAGACTTAGCATAGTCTGGCGATTTGAACATTGGGCTTTCCAGATCTCTGTGGTTTGTTTGAATGTTAGGCACTGACTGTCTTTACCTACAGCTAAGCTGTTGAAGGGGAACTGCATCTAATTTCTATTAACACTTTCTGCTTCTGTCATTAACTGGAGCACACTGGTTGGAAGGGCAGTGAAATCTGACCCAGATAGAAATGGTTATGGGATAAGATCTCAAATTACTTAAAACACTTAATTCTCTGAGTGAAGTGTCATGCTTTTCACAACAACCGTTCTGAAGTGGAGGAATTTTAACAATGTAGTTGGATAAAAAAAGAACCATTAAACTTCAAAGGGAATGATGTGTAACAGTCCCAAGCTAAATATGGTGGGTCCTGGAGACCATGTCAAACTGTCCTGATTCAAGTGCTGGTGAATGCTGCCATTCATATAGAATTCACTCTAGCAGTCGGTTTAAAACTAATACCATGGGGACTTTGTTGTAGTCTAGTCAGTAAAGTAAACGCATTGGTATTGTTAACGCTATGCACTTTATTACATAGAAACATTGGAATGTACAGCACTGGAAAATACCTTTCCAGTCCATCTGCAGTCCCAGAGTAATTCTCATATCTCTCACTTGAGTTCCTTGCCAAATACCGGTCGAATTCCCTCTTCAATATACTGAGACAATTTACTTCCACCATCTCCCTGGGTAGACTATTTCAATAGCAATAGGTTTGGAATGAATGCACATTTATATTTCGAGTTCGAGAAAGGAAAAAAAAGAATGGAACTAGAAAAAGTTATTCAGCTCATCAACCGTGCTGCTTCCACAGACCCAGTGGAACTCATAATAGTAATAATAATAATATTACCTCTCTTTTAGATATTCTATTGTCTTATTTATTTATGCCCCAGTAATTCCATATCGCTATAACCAAGCAGGATATTCTTCCATCCAATAATCTGTGGTACATCATGCAGATTTACAGGTGTTCTCATCCGAATGTAGTTCTCAATGGTTATAGACTTTCCATGAGTCAGCATGATATACAGTCAATTCAATTTACAGTATATTCTGTGAAGCGCTTTGAAACGTCTAGAAGATGTGAAAAACGCCATATCAAATGCAAGTATTATTATTATATAATAATGATCTGCTTATTCTGGAACCACACTGGAATGTGCTGCATGTTAGACCCCTATATGTTTCATGACTTTTCATTTTGTGTGTCAGCGTGGTTCAGTTGGTAACACTGTCAATTCTGGGTCACGGGGTTGTGGGTTCAAGCCCCACATTGGGACTTTGAGCTCATAGTTTAGGCTGACACTCCAATCAGTGCTTGGGGTACATGTTCATTGCTAGGGAAATCATCCTTCAGATGAGATATTAAACTGAGGTTCCAGGTGGAAGTTAAAGATCCCATGGCACGATTTGAAAAGAAAAGGGAGTTTCTCCCAGTGTCCTGACCGACAAGCCCTCGGATGAAATTAGTCATTCACTTCTGGCTGATTGTGAACTATTTCTTCTGTAAGCTAATTGGCACCCACATTTGCCTACAAATATACTTTGCAGAAACTTGTTGAAGCATTTTGCGATATTCTCGATGCTTTAAAGTGCTGTATCAATGTAAGAGTTGTTATTATGCAATGTGGATCATTAGTGGACATGTAACAATGCTGACTTTTATTGCAGGTGGAGTTTGAGTGGTTACGACAGTTTTGGTTCCAAGGAAAGCGTTCGGCAAAGCAGACTGACTGGTGGTTTCAACCAATGGCAACTCTGGAGAACTATTGGCGAGTGATGGAGCAAATGGTATGTGAACCAGTCCCTTTTTTGTTTTTTGCCTCGGTGAGCAAAGCAGTCTTTAGTTTGTATTCCCTTCCTGCGCTGTTGCATTTAATAATGAAACAACATTGTGCGGTTTAGACTGGAGCTGGCTTGTGACAGCATTGGGTTATTTATTCAGTTTAAGCTGTACAAATACATTGAAAATAGAAATGGGCATAAGATGGAAAACTGAGTGCTGAGGAGCCCTTCACTGTACAATTGACGTGATGTGTCCACGTGGCTCTGATTAGAAATATGATGGTGTCAGTATTTCCTTCCAACAGCCCTCTCTGATATTCTTCAGCCACCGTAAAGAGCGATTTCTAATTTCGAATGCCGCTTGAAATGCTTCTGTATTTTTCCTGATTTGGGTTTTTAAGAGATGCCTGGCAACTTTTAAGAGGGCGACTGTCACGTTGGAGTCTGTCGTCTGAAGCTGGTCTGAGATCTTGCTGAGTCAGGGGCCTAGTTGCCCAGCTTTTTCCATGACTTAAAAGTCACCTGCAATGGCTGATGCAACCCCGGAATTGAAACAGCAGGGGGCACTATTGCACTTGCAGTGCGCGGGAGACACAGCAGCTCGATAGCTGGAAAGCAGTTCATGCCATTCAACAGGAAGGCACTGTGACCTATCATTTGTAAATGGCCTTAATCACATTCCATTGCTGTCCAATAAACCAAACCGTAACATTGAGCTGAAATTTCCATGTACATCTTTGCAATGTCCTGTTCTCCCCTTCATTTAAAACCAAACTGTAACTCTGTCAGACCAGCGCCTTGGGACGTCTTCCTAACGTGAATGGCGCTACAAGTGTAATTTTGTTGTTGTTCTTAGTATTCAAATGCAAGGGTTATTATTATTTCACAAATGCCCAATTAACTTGGTATGAACCTGACTTTATTCTGAAAAGACTTGCTCCATCGCCACAAAGTGCCATAAATATAATAATAATAATCCTTGCATTTGATATCGCGCTTTCCACGTCTTCTGGATGTCTCAAAGCGCTTCACAGAATATACTGTGAAGTGAATTGACTGTATATTTGTGGGCGAAACGCCCATACGGTCCAGGATGAGAGTGTGTCGTTAACCGTTAATATTTGCAAACTATTCAAGTTTCTTATTCTACTATTATCATTTTGCCCTCCATACATTGTATAATCCTTAATCCTTCTTGCATTTAATACAGCTCTGTATCATATTGTCTCAAAACGCTTCACAGAATGTATCGTAAAATGGCTGCGTATTTGTGGGCAAAACTCTGCAGCCAATTGCGCACAGCAGTGCCCACAAGAAGGCGTTTATATATGTTCATAGAAAGGGTAATTCTAACCAATGAACCCACCTTAGTAAAATCTGGGCTGATTTTGTATTAATGTCATCAGGGCATGCCCAGTGCTTCATTGAGAATCTATATATACCAGTGTGCATAGGTGTTAATGCATAGGACCATGTGTCTCACCTATAAATCCCTTCACGCTCTTAACACTTCCCAATCTCTTCGATCTCCTCATGTGCCATTCTTCTGTTCATCCCCTCTGCTCAGCTAACTCAGGCATCCTATGCTTCCCCTACCCTTCCTACTCCACCAGTGATGGCTGCACTTTCTGATTCAACTTTCTTCACTTCTGGAACTCCCTCTCTCGACCTTTCTGTCTCTTTTTCTCTGTCTGTCTTCAGGTCCTGTCTTAAAATCTACCTCTTCGACCTATGGTCATCTCATACTCTTTCTCTTCCCCACTCCCCCTCGGCTATTCTTCATGAAAGGTGCTATATAAATGCATGTCATTCTGTATCATATTGTTTGGAAATACTATTCTAATCATTTTAGAAATTTGAATTGACACGTTCTGTTGTTGAGAACAGGAATAAATCATATGCACTCACTTATGGGGGGGTCAAGAAACAGTGGGATCATAGAGTGGGAGAACTGTCTAGTGATGACATGGAGTGTAAGGATACAGATTTGATCGCCCTCTCTGCTGAGCTGTGGTGAAGTGGAATGGTGTTGAACAGACACTTCTTTGCAGTAAGATGAGGGGGTGTAGGAAAGAATCCAAGAGAGGAGATGTAGATGTGTCCAAGTTCCTGTTGAGTGGCTTCAAATAGTTGGCTCAATAATAATACTAATCCTTCCATTTGATGTAGCACCTTATCACGTCGTTGAGACGTCTCAAAGCGCTTCACAGAATATACTGTAAAGTGAATTGACTGTGGCTCAAGATCAGCAAAGGCAGAAACTTGGGAGCAGATCGGCTGTCGTAGTACCAGCGAGGGAAAAAATACCCAGATCCCTGAAAGAATACTGATTGTGTAGAAGCCTGTTGGTGCTATCTTCACTCTGAGTTTGAAAAAGGCTCCACTTAATTTAGATAATTAGCGGTAACCCTCGGCTGACAGACACAAGCTTAATGTAGATATTTTAATTTCTGTTTGTACATGTTCGCTGTGTGCCTGTTTGAGTTCCGGTTACTTTGTAAACACAATATTAGTTTGGCCTAAAGCACTCATTTTAAACCATTTAAGTCCTATTATTAATAGCATTTTCACTGCTAATTCAGCATTACTGTCATAGATATAAAAAATAAAATCACATTTTCTACAAGTTTTCAAGTAATTCTGTAGTAATTTTCAGAACACACAGTTCATAAAGCAGGACTTTGCCTGCGGTCTTTAAGACTGATAATGAAGGTAGCCAGGTTGTTATTGAATTGCCTGGCTTACACAATTCCCTCCTTTTCCTTTGGACAATCATATCTCTTTCCTGCTAAATTGGACAACAGTTACACAGGAAAGGCTGAATAGTTAATTAACTGTGTTTTGTGGGTGGCTACTGATTTGTGCAAAGTTTTGTTAGCTACCGTATATACTGGAAGCAATACTGAGCAGCACTGAAGCAGCCCACATCTCAGTGCAGTGTGTGACTCTATGCCTTTTTTTAATTTGGAGATTTTTATATTTAGGCTCATTCAACGAAGCCTGCTACATCATGCTCAGATTAAATGCCCAGTCTCATCTGCTTCTTTGGTTAATGAGTGTTACCATCTGTGCCCCTGTTCTGACTGGGGGAAAAAAAAGTTGTCATTAACTTGTGTTCAATTTTTGTTTCTCTTAAGTCANTTTTTTTAAGAATGCTGCCGATATCATTGGATCAATTGGCCAGGAGCAGTTCCTCAACCCGACGGTGTGAGAGAGTCGATTTAATACACACAGTTGAAATGACGCAACAGCTCAAGCACTCTGGCTTAATCACCATCTCTGCTGCTATTGATTTAGCTCCCTCCCTCACATCGTGCATTGGAGCCAGTCGCTTTGATGAGCTTCTTAAGAATCATTGTTTAAGGAAAAAAACTTTTTTAAAAAAAACGAAACAAGCAAAGGCATTAGCAATGATGACGATTCTTTGCTACGTTTGTTCAAAAGGCATTACTAAAGATGAGAAGCCTCCCTTCCTCCTTAAAAGTACAAATATTGGATTGATAAACAAGGTGATGTGTTGACTGCTGAGTGACAGTGTTAATGACCACACTTGCTTGTTCCTGCGACAATTGTGCACACACCTCCTCCCATCCCCCCCACCCCCCTCCCCTGCATCCCCCAATCCTCTTAACTGCCCTGAGTTGATGCTCGGGCTTTAAAATGGCAAAAGTTTGCTTTCCATACGGTGCTGTACATTGGATTTGGCTCTTTCAGACGCGTGTTAGTTAGGAGCATCCATTATGCTAATCCAGTGAGTTGCTGTATGATAGCCACATGCTGCTTTACACGCTTTTCTTCTTTCTGTGCTACAGAAAGGTTTAAAAGTTCAGTGTCCCTTTTGCTGACCTACATTTGCTGAATTTTTAAAACCATCATCAATCAAATTTACACAGTTCTGTTTCACACATCGCAACCTCCTTACAATCGTATCCGGTATTGCAGGTTACTTGGGGAAAGTCAGGCTGTACAGCAAAGCCCCTTATTATCATATCCAACAGCAGAATCGTAACAGCTGTCCTTTATTGGTCAAAATGTACAATATTAAGCAGTTGCAGCTCAGATGGTTGATGCTTTTTAAAAAGCACTGAAACTGAAAAGGGACGTTACTTTTTTTAAAAAAAAGATGTAAGAAAGCAAGGGCTTTTGAAATATTGTGAGTGAAGGGGAATTAACTCCACCTCCATTATTTGACTAGGATTGATGTGAGATATAGGTGTGTATTGTTAATCTCAAACTGGTGACCATCTTACCTAACTGTATTTGTGTACAATCGAGATATTGATGACTTAAAACACGATCGACTATGTGGAGTTGAATAGAAAGCGTACTGAAAGTCTACAATAATAAAAAGGGTGGTTGTACAAAAGGGCTAGATAAGAACGAGGCTTTACAGCATAAATGCAGCTGCCATCTTATATGCTTGTAGGAAATTGCTTTCCAGCATTGACATTGTATTTTATAGAAAGTCCTTCAGATGTGAACAGTAATTTCATATGGAATGCTGAATGGAAATACTCAGGAAGTACAGTACAACAATCTCTCTACCTTTCTCTGACCCTTTGAGTTCTGAATTTTTGAGATTTTTTTTGCTGAAAAAAATAAACCTGCATTTGTTCACAATGCTTGCATTTGATATAGCTATTTATCATGTCATCAAGATGTCTTAAAGTGCTTCACAGGAATTTCCTGGAATGTCAAGTGACTATGTATTTGTAGGCAAATGCAGCAGCCAGTTTGCACACTGACGTCGCACAGACGTACATGAAGTGAATAATCAGTTGTATCTGGGCATTGTTGGCCCAGGCTACCGGGAGAAACTCCCTTCTCTGTTTGAGGAATGCTGTGAAATCTTTAACATCCACTTGGACAGGCAAATGGCACCTGGGTTGTATCTCTCATCTGAAAGACGTCATAATAATAAAAGGGAATTGTGCTGTATTTGGTGAGCTTCAATCCCAGATATTTTCGTCAATTTCAACATTGTTCTGTGGCTAAGCTTCCATCCC